GAGAGGAGCACGTTCACAATTGGAGATTGTATTTGCAAGCTTGGGTTTACTCAAAGAATATGCAACAAAGGGGGTCCAAATCTTTAATAAAACTTACATAGGTTACATTCCAACAGATGCCCGAAAATCATTTTTATCAGTCAAGCTTAGAAATGTTCCTTTAGGCAACAGAAACCAAGTTTCAACTCTTATTAAAGAAGCTTTTGAAGACATAGGCAAAATCAATTCCATCAAGCCTCTCCTAATTGAAGGCACCCCTTACTTAACAGACCAGTGGATTATTATTTTTGAAACCACAGAAGACCCGGATTTAGAAAAGAACCTCCCCTGTTTCACTCATGTAGGGGACAATAAGGTCACTACAGAATGGAGGTCAGCACCCAGCATTTGCTTTTTCTGTGATCAAGAAGGTCATGTCAAGAAGGATTGCAAGCAGCTCCAGGAATTTCTCACACTCCGGGAACAATATCGAAAATACAAAGAACAAACCAAAGTTGGGAGCAATATTCGAAGTGAAAACTTGGGTTCTCTTAATATAGAACCCTTAGCACCGAATCCAGATAAGGACAAGACAGTAAGAAAGGGATCATCTTTAGAGTTGATTGAAAATAACTCTAGCATGAAAGGGGATGAGATCACTATTACCTCACTAGAAAATGCAATCAAAGACATGGTCGAAGCAACAGTCACATCTCCTCTGTCAGAAGAAAAGAATTCCATGAAAAAAGAAGAAACCTTGACGGACAAGGAATCTGACTCTTCCGATTTCGTCTATATACAACCACCGATTTTAAATACCTCAGTTTCTCAAGATCAGACTGCTCCAAGAGATGAGCTTACATTAAATAACCCGGTACAAGCCTTTAAAGAGCAAATGAAAGGTGTGGAACCCAACGATACCCGGTTAGAAGGGGCAGATGAGGACGGTTTTACCCCGGTAGTGAATAAGAAAAAATAAAAAAGGCCAATAACAGCAAAATTAGACAGAGTTATCCTAAGCCTTCTCCTTACAATAGAGCGAAGGGAGGATATACCTCCTCTCTTAATTAAAATAATATGCTTTTCTTATGTCAGTAAACAAAAAAGTTTACATAGCATCCCTTAATGTAAAGGGACTAAACAATCAGGAAAAACAAAGAAAAACCTTAACTTTACTGAAATCATATAAACTAGATATAATCCT